ATGCCCAAGTTAACCTGTTAAACTAGAGTACTTTAGGAGCTTAGATACTTATAGTGCCTTAGTTAAACCTGTGACAACCATGGATTATAAAAATATGGATAGGACATAACGGTCTTATCAGAGGTAATTAATGGGTAAAATTGAGGCCAAAAAAGTATAGGAATCTATATTGAGTGTCGACTATCAATATGAAAGCATTGATAAGAGAGCCTTAATGCYTTCTCCTCCGGGAACGCGGACTCAAATATATTTAACATAATCGTKGCCTATCCATATATTTATTATCTATGGTGACAACACAGTAATTATTTATTTTCAAGCCTCCCCCTTCTCCATTGAAAAAAACCTGCGTACGCCACTGATAGACTGTACCTAACTATAGTTAATTTTTGGTAATCGTTAAAAGCCGTAATCACATAGGTTATATTGTAAGGTAGGWACTTTCTTTTTTTCCCTGATTTAGAACCGACAACAGAGGAGGGTCTGTTTGCACAATACTACTCCTCTATTGGCAATAGACTATTGCCATATTTATTAATGAAAAACATTTAAAAACAATACTTAACAAACGAATATACATATAGCGCAAGTAATTAACATCAGAAATCTTCTGCACTTATTCAGCTAATACTAAGTAATTTATAGGTATCTCTATTCAGGTTTCGATGAAGGCGGAAAAGAATAATTACTTCCCGCAAATTTTTTAATATCTTGCAGGGCGTTAATTTATGTATTACTAGTGAACATTGATGAAAATTGGTGTATTAAGTGTGAAATTAATGTATGTATCGTGTTGTGGCATACGAGTCTGGCGATGATCTAAGTTTTCACATTATGTATAACCACGTACGTCTGGTTTTTTTTTTAACTCGTTATCGGTGGCAGAAATTCCGATAAAACTCGTACTCTGTTTGTCGTCGTCGCTAACCGCCTGCCGGAAGGCCCTGTTCGTCTATATACGCACATAGCATTATAGTACGCAATATTACATCTGTTATAAAATATATGCACTGTGCATTGTAGGATATTCAGAGGCAGTATAATAATATTATTATCATATGAATATAATAAGTTCACGTCTGGTTAATCTAAATTAGTGTGTGCTGGAAAAAAAAATGCAGTCGTGTGTGTTGGCGTGTTGCTCATATAATTATATATATATGCGATAATACTCTAAACATGCTGTGCATTAAGAACATACGCATCCAACACCAGATAAATTATAAACAAAATTATACAATAATAAGAGTTTGTAGGGCGTCAGCGGTGGATAGTTGCAGCTATTCTGATAACGAAGGGCTACTTGAACAGATACCTACGCGTTTTTATAAAAAATATTATTATAATAACCCACTTGTCGTGGCTTGGGCGCTCTTATTACGACAAAGGTTATAATGAATAAAAAATAAGCAATAAGTAACATCAAAGGTTTCCTACACTTGTGCCAATGATGCCATTTGAGATATCGCTGAGGCATGGATGGCTCAATTTTAACCGAATACATAATATAGTCTCGTACCTACTACCGTTACTACGTAACTACCTACTTATGGAGAGATATCTAATAATATATTGTTATATTAGCCTATACCTTAATGTTTTGCCTATTTCAGTTGGCAAAGAATTCAATCAATACTATAAAATAAGTAACAAGTATTTTATAAATGTATGAGTATAATGAGTATTGGTAAATAATTTTAAAATTACGTAATACCTATTTAGATTATAGGTATACAATATGTCATTACTCATTATAACCTGTAGACATGGTTTAAAAAAGTAGTATCGATGATTGTAATATRATTGAAAAATTGAAAAGAGGAATAATATTTTATAAGCAAAATGGTTTTATACGTAGTTACTTCCGTAGCCGGGTGGAGGAAAATGTTACCCTTAACAAAAAAAAATGCTATAATTTGTAYTATATTCATATAATATAGACCTAAACCAAAGCGAGAATCTATTCGTCGGACCACCATATTTTGATAATCGTAAATTAGGTTTCGAACTAGTCGATCAATTAAAACTTGCTGACCTCCTCATAATAGAGTTCAGCACCACGATGAAATATCGCACAACCATGCCATAATATTCAATCATGTATTAATGGCTTAAATTTCCAGATTTTGAGGGGGTGTCAACCGGTTTGATATCTGCTTCCGTGAAATAATTGATCTTTATTTTTTTTTTCGCCAATATCAACCATTGCAATACGTAGACAAAATATAGGTACTAAATATTATATTATAATAATATTATTACCACGATAAAACCGACTTACCTATATTAGGTATAGTTAAAACATAAAGGGTCACAGGGCTTGGATCAAAAACTTTTTAAAAATATTTTGAATAAATACTCAAATATTTATGAAAAATTATTGTAATATAAAGAAGTTTAAAATACTATACAAGTATTCATCGAATATTTATTTTAGAYATTAAAAAAATTTAAAAATGATACTCGACATGAAAAATGTGAAATTATAGTCAATGTTAAAATATTGTGTTTGTATACATATATTATGTGTGATAATTTATGATTTACAAGTTTACAACATGACAATATATATATGTATTGAATTATGATAAGTATTTAAATAAAAATGTAATTTAATATACTTTAGTTAATTTATTTTAAATTAAGTATTTGAAATACTTTCAAAAATAGTTACGGACGTGATTTCAACGCTTTGTATAACACTATCATGTATTTCAGAAAAATCCTGTTAGTTTCAATAATAAAGCTTTTAAGGTTAAATTCAAACATTAATATTACTCAAACTTGTAAGCTATAATACTGTCTGTAACCAAATTGGCAACTAACAGGATTTGATTTAAAAACTATACAAAAAAATACWTAGGTTTGTAATTATGATGTATAAGTGCTTAATGTCTTTAGTACAAAATATACCTATATCAATAATACTGAAACACTTGTCAATCAGAAACAATCGTTTGGTTGGGGGAGGGGGGTTGTGGTAGTGAACGCTACGCATTTGGGTCGTTCGTCCAATACAGATATTAATGATTTGTACGAAAACGTAAACAATACGAACAAGAAATGAAAAAAAAAAATGCTAAAAACTTTTCTGCTGTAAAGGTTCTATATAAATAGTTTATAAATCATTGTGACATATATGAATGTTTTAATGTTAGTGYAGTGTATTTAGTACGAGGGGAGAGAAAAATCTAATTACGTTAATGTTCGAATGAAAACGAGCCTGCAGGAGAAAGTGTAATGTTTTCATTGTTTTGTCATAGTTTGTAAACCTAATTATCAAATATGAATTCCTTATGTAAAGGAGTAGGATCGTTATTAAATTAACTTGCGCGTGCGCTAGAGTTATTCGATTTGAAAATATACCAAAGCTCAGATTCTCAGAGGTCCATAATGTTTCTGTACCTGCAATGATAATACAAAATAGGTAACATAAAATATGTGAGTTTGATCATACAATGGTATAAACATTAAAATATATAGGTATGTATTAGTTATTGTTATTRCATTATTAAAAAATTAATCTGATATTTAAGAATATGATTTACTATGTTCTGTAATAACAATTTATTAGGTAAATTTAAATAATTTATTGTCACTAGATACCCAGAATTGGTATAATGGCTTTAAATATTAATTTACTCTAAAATAATTTTGCAATATTTTGATTTTTTAAATTTTTTCTGAAATTATTAAACCATTTTAAATTGGATGTTAGTTGTATATAAGCTGTGATCAATACATTTCTGACAATTTAAGGCACCTACAAGGTTCAATATGGTGTATATTTTGTGCATTTTGTATTCATATCATAATAATGTAGAAAAAACAAAATCAAGATTATTGGACAAAAGTAACGAGAAGAAAAACACGTCATACAGATTTTCGCCGCACACGACTCGCGAATCCGTTTATCTTGCAGTCTGCTGAGTACACATTATTATACAATTTTCGTTAGACATGCATAATCTGGTGTACAATATTAATATGTTGTTTGTTATTATTATAGAGAGAAAATTTAGACGTACATTTTGTTCTTAGCACACTTCATACTTAATTATATTTATTCACTAATTTAATGACAATGTAGGTATGACATATTTAAATACATTAAAGATATTATAATGATATATAAATTATAAATAGCATTATAGCACAATGTATTAATWCATCATCTTTCATATTTATACAATAATTTAGTGTTGTATATTTTATGTAGGTACTAATAATTTCAAATACCACTATTGTGATATGATGTTTCAGAAATTTTCTATATTTAATCATTTTAAATTTATAAAATAAAAATCAAACCTAAAGGTTTCAATGTTGAATAGATAATTTATAAAATTGAACTGGATTTTTAAATATACTTAAAAGAAAGGCACATTAGTACTCACTACTCACTGCTGTATATTTGACATTCGTGATGTATAATATTTTAGAAATTTATTTTTTGAAATTTCAAATAGTTAGGAAATTTTTATTTMAAAATTTTCTAAATTAGAATTTCTCACTTATTATTTCATTAGGGCTGTAGGTAGTTTGAAATATGAAATATAAAGGTATATAGGTACCTACGCTATATACAAACTAGAATATAGCATGTTTAGTGACAGGCATTAAATATTTCAAAGATTTTATTAGTAATATTCTTTACTTTCTATTATTTAATTTACTCAAATTTTACCTACCTATAAATATTATTTTATCTTTAAATTTTTTGTAATATCTAAAAATCATTCAGTTACCACCTTTGTAATTATTATTCGTATTTAATATTTATGATTGCAAGATTTTTGAAACAAATAACAAACATAATGACAATATTATTTATATGATATCTTTAATTTATTTATTTAAAATTAAGAGTATAAAGGTACATTTTTGTTTGGAAAACTTGAAAATTAACTTTGATAATATTGTTGTATAGCCGGCTAAATCGATCACGTGTTTATGTACGTATACACATAATAAAAAACGCATCTATAGTTATTTTAAAAATGACCGCCGCCGTCGAGGAGGATGAGTAGATGAAAAGAGACAACGACGGTAGGACCGACACGACGCGTCGCGGCGTGGGCGATACGCTTCCGACTCGGCCGCCACATCGCCCACCCATCCCCATCCATCACCCGTCGACCGTCCTCCCTCGTCCAAAATTTTTCGTCCCTCCAAACTTAGTTGCATTTGTACGCTATCGGTGCACGTACGCACGCGTGTGCTATCATATAATACAGCAGGGGGCGTCTCCCCCGTCGGTGCTATATAAACGGCCAACGACTCGTCGAAATTGAGCACTACCACTTGACGGATGTACCCGCGCGGATCGCCAYTGTCACTTCGCGATCAGCACGAACGACGAGGAAATATGCACACGACCATCGTAAGTACCTATACGCGAAAAATCGCAAATAGTTTTTGGACTTTTAACGTATAGTGCGCGTGCAATCTATTGGTTATAGATATGCATGCATATTWTATAGGTATATGGGTAGTTAAAAATTAAAATCAAGCGGGCGTTCTTCCAAAAACTAGCACRCTAAGTGAAATATTTATTTTGGAATATTATCCTGGAAACTATACACGATTGATCAATTAATATAATTATTTAGTTATCTATTAATTTTAATRATTATTCGTTAAACAACAAACTATTCATATTCGAATTACTAACAKTGCGATGCACGTCACACGTGACTGTTTTATAAAAAAATTATTTTTACTGTTCTGTAAAATGTAGAAATTATGCCACCGAATGCCCGAAATCATCTGACGAAAAATTGTTTTCTTCTTTTAAACCGTTTGCATCGTGTTGTGCATATAGGAGTAGCAATTTTGACCGGCGTTGTAACCTTGTAACCTTTAACAATATACCTATAGGTAGTGTTGTTTTTCCCGCGTGCTTTTAAGTATTCTTCTAATGTTAAATCACAATAGTAATAACAGTCGTAATAATAATAATAAAACACTGACGATATGGATAGAATTTAGTGTGTATGTAYAAAAGTCGTGTTTTGTGTTGTGTACATATACACAAGCGACAGGCGTAAAATGGAAACTCAAACCGTGCCCATATGCTAGGGGTGCAAAGTGTTGTAGTGAAGCAAAATTACATATAAATTTCAAAAGTTTAGTACTGTACCTTATTTTTTTAATAAYTTTTAATTGTGAGYTCATTGGAATCATTTTATATTGCATAATTCGGGTCATATATTTAAACACTAAAAATATCTGATTTCTCCAATTTTCCCATAAAGGCTATTAATAAATAAATTTATTTAAAAAAATAATATAGATGGCAATAATTTTTGATTTGTTTCTTAGCATTTATTTCAAATTACTGTAGGTACGCTCTTAAATTTTATTTTGATACCTATATTATTTCGGTAAATATAAATTTATTTATAGAGGGCCACCAATTATGTAATAATACTAGCTTATAGTATAGTATTTTAAAGATTKTTGTTTATATTTTCATAGTATACAAGTTATGTTCGTTATTTAACAGTAAAGCCACTTGAACTGTAATAATTTATTAAAATTTGATAAATATCATTTAAACGAGGTTGCTGCGAAGTATGTACACATGTTAAATAAAACATTGTCAAGTGATATATTATTATAATTGTATATTTGTATAAAATAGTATAGTTTATCGAATGTAAATAACAATAGATGTTTTTATCCACTTCATTTATAAAACAGACTTTTTTTGTAACTTAATATTTTAAAAAGAAATTCCACTTCCACGAATTTACTCAAGTACTTTACAATATACGCGTGTTAAAAAAATGACAAAACAACAAATATCAAATGTTCATTAACCTCGGTGGTATAATATAAGACATAATACAATTCTTTGTTTTTAAATCTCAGCGTAAGCCGTAAAGCAATAATGGTACTTATTATAATATTTAATACGACACGATTACATTTTAGACACACTACTCGTTACATTTCTCCCTTATTTATTTATATAACGTCATAATAGTTGATATATTCTTACGGTTCGCCATTCGCATATCTATTTATATTATAATTATAATGTGTAGGTTCACATATTTACATATTATATTTAATGATAAATATATTTAGAATTTACTATATACCTAAAACCTAAATAAGTTTAAATACTTATATTCGTATTATATTATTACTATTATTATTATTAAAGTGCCGGAAAGATACAAATTCTCAATGTGCATGTTTGGCCTACGCTCTACTGCCTGATTTTTATAAACTTACTTAACTATTTAAATAATTGACAGTGAAAATTTTTAACTTAAATTATAAAATATTTACATACTAATGTTTTAGTTTTGAGTTAACCTTCAAAAATTGAAATGTATTATATACTATTGRCTATAATAATATCGTAATTTTCTCTCACAGTATAAATGATAAAAATCGTATTTCAAHAATATTAATAGAAAGAAAACTAAAATGAAGTCGATGGCACAGAGTGTCTGTATAATTTAACTCGCAAACGATACGACGTCACTTGCGTATAATATAAATAATATATAATACCTACCTATACATAACAATAATGTTTCTTCGGTGCAGGGTGCAACTATAACATTATATCACACGCCTTCGACTCTTTGACATTTCTGAAATCACACCCCTTCATCGATACGTCCATGGTAAACGAGCCGCGCACTAGAATAATGATAGTACATTGTATCCACATAATAATAATAATATTTCGTTTCGCCTGCCGACTACAGGATGTCCCCGACGGCGCTCTTATATTTTTCGATATTATGTACACGCAGATAAGCGCCGCCGCAAGCAGCATGGATGGAATAAGGGTTGTTGTAAAGAGCTTTTAGGTGAATGTAACCAGCTCGACCACTCCAAGTCCTCTTTTCATTAAGTCGCCGCATGTGCCTCGCCCACTCCATTTATGTGTTTTTTCTTTTTACTTTTTAAAACGCTCATATTTTTTTATTATTAAATGATTCCACCACCCCTCTATCTTTTCACACGCACATTTACCCACGCTCTCGAGACTTACTATAATAGGTTATACGTTGCAGTGTATACGAACTTTTTCCAATATTTTATACGTATAGGAATCTTCCGTATTCACGAACGGATTAGCTGCAGCGGATGGAATACACCAAATGCTTCTAAACCTCAAGACGACGACAACTACAACAGCGTGACGATAAATTTATCAAGTGACGCTAGTTATACCTATGACTTTATGTATTTCGAGAAAACTTATAWAATAATAAAACGCAATGGATATTCAGAGTTACTCACTCAATTTGGATGTGATGTTCAAATTGGCGCCACCACAACCTCCTTGAGTGAGCGACTCGGGAATCTACATGCTCGTCGCAGATTGCACCATGCAATAACCATACGAACCTAACCACCTGAATTATTGTTTGTTGGAATAACAATTTAGCAATTTATTTTTTTTTTATTAATTAAAAGATTAAGCAACGCTGTATGGTTATTATTATTTTTTGCTAGTGTCTTTCAGCGTTCTATATTAATTATGTCGTCAACTGCCGTTGAATTTTGGCAAGATCAAATATATAAATAGTATATGTTTAAAATATTATAATATAATATTAACTTTATTGTAATATTTACTATTGTGGCGTTTCATTACGTGGGTCGTGGGTGTATGTACTATACTATATTATTATGTTATTGATAGGATTGAATACTTTCATTTTCGTTTTGGTATCGTTCGATATTTATTTTTTATCGATGTCGTACATATTAGGTATATTACTATAGTGTTAACGGTAGGAAATTTTTAATCAATACCTATAATATAAATATATCATAGCTTAATGTTATTGCCAGATTATTTAATAAAATGATGTACCTTTTTTTTTATCATACATGACCACAGTTCAGGCATGTCTTGTCGTACTTAGTGCCCGTATTACAATAGTTGAACTCCGGTTAAACCACTGAATTCGGCCGGTAAAATCAGTGGTTCACGCATAACCGAGGTTTAAACTATGATTGTAAAACGGGCCCTTAAAGAGTTAAAGTCGATTAAGTATATTTTAATTGAT